CTCTCTCCCGTAAAACTTACACGAGATAAAAATTCAATTTGAGAAAGAGGTAGTTCTTTTTCTGGGTTCATCTGAAGGACCATGGGCCTCAGGCTATGATCCCAGTCAACATTTTCGGAGTTTAATTTTCCATTTTTCTTGCTCTTTTCCCCCTCTTGTTTGAATGTTTTGTCAAATATTCGTGCGATTACATGTTAGAGCGACAAACCTGCTAGTCTCATCCGTCCACGAACTTTAGCAACTATTTGCGGTTTATGGAAACAAATCTTCGGACAAAACTTCCATATTTCCCGATTTCAAGAGCAACCAGCTTCCACTATTAATTTCATATGACGCCGTGTACGAAATCATGGGTCCCAATAAACCGTCATAAACCGGGACCTATACACCGTATCTTATGTCAAGCGACACCATGCCACGCCCATGTCTTTTATTTTCCTAGACCTTGTTATTTGGCAACACGCTGAACATGACGTTTTTAGTGCTATACAGCCAGTCATTGAACATTCTGGGATAAATACCAAAAACCAGATGAAAATGAGTCGTGTAAGCTTGCTGAAAGTCAATTTATTAACCCTCCTTTAAATTATTTCTGCAACCTTCTTATGGATAACATGAAAGTGATGCAAAACCTCCCACGTGATTTGAATTATGATCTCTCGATATTAGACCCTACGGGGGATAGTTGATAGTTGCCCATAACCGATTGATGCATATTCCTTTGATTTGTTTCTGCAACTAGTGATGACGTTTTATTGTTGCTGTGGGTAATTTTGGAGGAAAACGGAATAAGGTACGGCGTGCGCGCGTCCACATAGTTTAGACTTTGTTAATTTTAAGGCAAGTGGAAAATATCGTCGGGGTGTGTGTCGGTGAATCGCTGTCGATGGAGAAATGAGGCATTATTGTTCGGAAAATGACAACTTGGTAAAGCTAAAACCACTTACATTGCAGCACGAGGTTTTTATTCGAAGAATGGTGTTGATCGAAGTAGGCGTAGGTCTCGAACAGTATGGTAAAGAGAGAAGACCTCCTACCCTCTCCCCCCTTCGTTTTCATCATGATACTCAATAAATACATGTGTAGCTGTTTATGCTTTCTTTGTCCAGTTAGCTGAATTCAATAAATGAAGAATTGCTCTTTCTTTTATTAACACCTCCCACAGTTATGAGCAAATTCAATTAGATATTTGCTCATAACATGCATGTAACCCACGCTTGCCGATTTTTTTTTCCATTAAAATTAATTTTAAGCATGGAAAACTCATCAATCACATAGTAATGTAAAAAAATTCTGAGAGATTCTAATAATTTATTTATAATTAGAATAAATAATGAAAAACAGAAGTATTTTAACTACATATTTTTTAACTGTTTGGATTTTACAACTCAACACCAGTATAGAATCCTTTTTCAATTTTTTTTTTTAATTTGAAGGTAATAGCACATTTTGTTCATCGATCTAGTCCATTGAAAATAATTCAATTTCTCTAGATATTGGATTTAAATAAAAAGTTAGTGAAAAAAATATACCTTCTGGTAATATTTATCAGGTTAATCTAAAGATTTTAGTATAGAATCTTCTGGAACTAAGGAATACTAATTGTTAAAAAAAAAAAGAACAAAATAATATTAAAGAGAAATTTATGAACACTCAAACTTCTTGACTAATTACAAAAGCTACTCTCTCACTCTCTCTCTCTCACTCTATATATATATATATATTAAAGCTTAAAGGGTAAGTTAATACTATTTATTTCATCGATACTTTATCGTGGGTGAAATAATTTTTTTGTTAAAAAAATACAAGCTTTTTAAATGTGTTTTTTAATCTAATTATAAATAAATAAAACCTATACATATATTTAATTAAATATATCAAGAATCACTTATACTAATAAATATAAAAAATAAAATATAAAATATATGCATTCCAGTGCTTGGCCTAGCGGTGGAAGGGGCTTGTTTTCTTCCATTGTACTTGGGTTCGAGCCCTGACGTGCACGCATGTCACCCTCGTGGTGCCTTACATGCCTACTGGGTTTGCAGGATATTTAGTGGGCCGTGGGGATTAGTCGTGGTGCGCGCAAGCTGGCCCGGATACCCCACGTAAAAAAAAAAAATATATATATATATAAAAAATAAAATATTATCATATTTATTTAACTCATCTTACTGTAGGTCAAATAATATTTTTCTAATATGAAAGAATTAACTTATAGTTGTTATTAATGCATTTTATGATATTGAGTAAAAAATATAACCATGAATTAAAAAGTTAATGATTATATATAATAAAATATAATAAATATCATATCTATTAATAAAAATATATAAAATTTCAAGCTAATTTTTAACATAATATAAGAATTTAACAATGTTGTAATTGCAACAATGAAACATCATTTCCCTAATCTTTGTATAATAATTTTTCTTAAAAATATAAATAAAAAATAAAAAATATGGATAAAAACAAAAAAATTATTATAAATAGGTCACTTATAAAGTGATAAATGTTTAATAAATAAAAATAATATTTTTTCCAATAAAAAAGTGTAAAGAAAAAAATTAAGAAAATATTAAAAAATAAAGATAAGAAAAGAAAACAATATAAATAAACTAAGTGTATATAAATGCTAAGTATAAAGAGATAATATATATATAAAAAAACTTAATTTTTTTTAAAGTAATAATTATAATTTGATCTTCACTAGGTCAAATTAATTGGTAAAACTTATAATTGTGCTATTTTTGCAAGAAAATTTCATTTCTTTTTAGGACATATTTAATATCAATGATCAAGAGTAGCTTAATTGACAACCAAGCAACCATACGCAAGATTTTATTTTGTATCCATAATACTGCTCGTGTCTCCTCAAAATTCCTAACGAAATTAAGCATTAAAAAAAAAAAGGGTTCAATTCTCCCTCGCTATTCTGTAACCAGCTCGTTCCATGAATGATCATGCATTGTACCTGATTGCTTGTTCTTAGTGTCAAGACTTCGGAAACCCAAGAGATGCATTGACCACGAAATTGAGGGATTTATTAACGAAGATCGAGGATTGACGTGTGACAATCATCACCCGCAACCTGAGATCTAGACCATGATTATCGATTAATTTGGTTGTTTTCTTACGTTAAGGAAAGTAATAAAGTAGAAACCCTAACCAAGGAATTGTCAGGGATGAAGGCATGCCACGTTACAGTATTATGCACTTAGGCAACAAACATGGCCTAGCTAGAGGGAATGGGGATGTTTTCACCTTCTGTTCGTGACCTGTGGAGCATTGTATCTACATAGTTTTTGAACTGTGAGTAACATTATTTATATTTATAATGCGGCAACTGATTTTCAATTTATGTGACGAATTAATCTGGTTAGATGAGTAACCAATACGAAGTGTTGGCTATTTAAAAAAAAAAACAATTGTACATATGCTGTTGGTTACCTTGTTGAAATGTTGGTTATATACTAATAGTGATTAAAATTAATTAAAAAATAGGTCTTGTTAACTTAAATTCATTAAATTATTTTTTTAAATACTAACTAAAGGTATATTTGTTAAGCAACAAATATTTTGTTAATAATTATTTTCTTCTAATTTTTTAATTGAATCATTTTCTATTTTCTAATATATTAAAAAATTCTTTAAATTATAAAATAATTATTTTTTATTGTAAAGTGACGGTACGTAGTTAGATGAGAGAAATGATAATGTTCGTGCTAGTGACAATGTTGGTGGTGAGTGTTTAAGAGTTAATATAAAATTAAATTATTAATGAGGTATTTTTTAATAGTTTAATTTTTTAAGTTAAGATGATTTTTTAAAATGATATTAGAGCTTACATACCAATTAAGATGATTTTTTAATATGATATTAGAGCTTACATATCAAATAGTCAAGAATTTGAATCTTATTTTGTTAATTGAAATTATAATTTTAACATAAGATAATATTAAACTGTATAAATTTTAGATCTAAAAAGTTTTAAATTGAGAGAATATATTAAAAAATTATTATAACATTATTAATAAAATCTCATCTAATAACTTAAATTATAAGTTAAGATAACTTTTTAATAATGAAAATAGTAGAGTAGTGGTAATGACATGAGAGAAACAATAATATTAGTAATCATGATAGTAATGTTGATGGTGAAAATAATGAGGTATGTAATATATCAGTGCTAAAAATATAAAAAAATATAATTGTTCAAACTCAATATAAATTTAAAAAAATTAAAAAATTAATGCTTTGATTAAGTTTAATTGCATTTTGCAAATTTTTCATCCAACTAATCAATTTCTTTAGATCAGAAAAAAATATTTCATAAACAATTAATAAGATGACAAAATATGGACCATCATCATATAATTTTAATAAAGATATCAAGCTATATATAAATTATGTATTTATAACAAAACAACACATTATGTGACAAAACCTAATTATTATTTTTTATCATAATCTAATTCATACTCTTAAAGTAGAGTCTTTGTAATCATCTAACCTAGATTGACAATCTATTTAAAAATATGATTACTCTTAAAGTAGAGTCTTTGTAATCATTAACCTAGATTGATAATCTATTTAAAAATATAATTGCAATTGTTTTTTAAAATATTTTTTACTCTGATGCGATTGTTTTTTAAAATATTTTTTATTCTAAAATGTATCAAAATAATATATTTTTATATTTTTTAAAAATTATTTTTAATATCAGCACATCAAAATGATCTAAAAATATAATAAATATATTAATTTAAAAAATTAAAATATAATTTTTTTAAAAAATATTTTTAAAATATAAAAACAAACTAGAAAAAAAATAAAATTATAAAATGCTTTGACTTATCAACCTCAATTACCATGAAGAAATGCCACGTGAAGCAATAGAACCCACACTAGTACAGATATGAACACCCAACCTTTCTTAGCCCAAACGGCTCGCAACCGACCTCGTTGAAATCATGCTACAAGCCCCATATTTCTAGTCCCCACACACATGCCCTTGCACTAACTCTCACACAAAATCACACAGTACACTTCCTGTTCTATCACCCCACATCTCTCGTTTTCCTCTCTGTATCTCTCCTCAAACAAAAAAAAGTGATATATAGCACAGCCTGCGAACATGTACTCTGCAACTGACCAAATGATGTTTCAATGCCCTCCTAGGCCATTTCCAAAGGAGAAGAAATGGAAATCCAAAGTCGAAGCTGCTCCAAATTGCCCTCGTTGTGCTTCTCCCAACACGAAATTCTGCTACTACAATAACTATAGCTTGTCACAGCCTAGGTATTTTTGCAAGGGTTGTAGAAGGTACTGGACTAAAGGAGGGTCAATAAGAAATGTTCCCGTAGGTGGTGGTTGTCGCAAGTATCGCAGAGCCAAGTCCTCTAAGGTCTCCCAGAATGAACGTGCTGCGGTTTCGGTGAATTATTCTAGGACTAACGAGACGACATTAGCTTGTTCCGCGAATAAGGACTCAATGGCTCAACAAGGTGAAGCTAATGGGTCTGATATTGATCTAGCTGTTGTTTTCGCTAAGTTCTTGAATCAAGACTTGAGTTATGAGCCCGATTTTACTGGTGAAGATTTGCTTAATGAGGGCGGTGATCAGATGGTGGATGTATCGAATTCTTCAAATCCATCTGACAGCTTCCAAAATGATACAATGATGGAAAGCCTGAAGCGGTCTGATCTGATCCAAGAATCCAATTTTCTTGAAGGGCAATCTCAGGTACTTGTAGGAGAGAAGCAACGACTTGAAGAAGAGAGAATTCAAGAACTCATAGAAAGTCAAGACATGAATGCATTTGGGTTGCAAGATTTATTGAGCGACGAAATTGTACAAGATGCTTTGTGGTCTGATGATGCAACCTTGCCTAATTTTCCTAATTGGCAGCCCATGCTACAATTGCAAGATTTTGATTCATTTTCAGTGGATGATCGACTAAAGATTTCATCCAATTTTATCAGTGATAATAATTGGAGTTCTTTGGATCTCGCGGGGTTTGAGGTTTTTTCAAGACCTTGATATATACTTTATTATATTTGAACTTTTTTATTAGTTTTTATGCGATGATTTATTCTCTTGTTTTTCTCTTTCTTAAAGAATCATAATTGTGGTGTTGCTGGGAATTTGTTTAAAAAACATGATTATTTAATTGACATATTTAAGGTTAAATTAAGACTAGGGCTATTTATTTTTTGAGTCAAGACTTTGTTGAAATTCAATCTTTAATATGATTTAAATAAATTACAAATAAATGATAAATTGATTTCAAAGAATCTTTTGTTGGCATGTTTTAGTGAAATTCAAAATCCTCTACAAAACTTTATTCTGTATTAAAAAAATAAGATTTTCTTAGTGTTTATAAAATGAGTAGTTGAAAAGTTAAAATTATACTCAAATATCACTCAGGCTTCTAAAAGGGAAAAAGATCCTACGCAAAATGGACTTTGGGTTTAAACTTATACATGTGAGTCAGCTTGAGCTAGGTTTCGGTATAGATTTATTATAAAATAATATTTTGGACTACAAAAAATTATTTTTTGCTAACTAAAATTTAAAATTAGCCTGGTCCATGAAAAACTATTTTTTTCTTAACATTGTTTATCCATTCCAACCTATGAATGTTAATAGTTTCTTTTAAAAGCTTTTAATTTAAGTATAGTTATTTTTATTAATAGTATCCATGTTATGACTTAAGTTTTTTTATCAATTGCAAGTTTGAATAGATGTTTAATATGCATGCTAATATTCTTTTAATATATTTATGTTGAGAGCATGTTTGACATAAGTTTTGTTTTTTAGATTTAAAATCATATGCACTCTAGGCTTTCCTTGAATATTTTGTATATAGATAAATTAAATATCATTGCTTACTAGTCTAATATATTTATAATTTTTGAGAAACAAGTGTTACATAACATACCTATAAGAATGAAAGATCATGGCATAAACTTCATTATAGATAGACTAGGTGAATAAAATTAATCAAAATATACTATTTATGTTTTCTCATTATTATTGGTTTGGTTATAGTGGATGACAAAAAGAATAACCATTGATATGAACAAAATAAAATAGGCCCAACAAAACCCAAGAATAAGAAAGGAAAAAAGAAAAAGAAATGAAAGAGAGAAATAAAGAGGAAAGGCATAACCAAACCTAATAAGAAAAAGAGATAGGTGAAAAAAAAGGGGGAGAGGGAAGAGAAAGAAGATTGACTCCACCAAATCTAAGAAGAATAAAAGATGGGGGAAGAAAGAAAAAAAGGAGAGAGAGATAAAATGCCTAACCGAGCCCAATGAGAAAGAGAGGAAGAAGAAGGAAAACAGAAGGAGAGAAGAGAGATAAGAAGCCTAACCTAGTCAACAAAGTTCAGCCTCATCAAGCCTAAAAAGAAAGAGACAAAGGAGAGAAGAAAAAAGAAAAAAGGAGAAGAGAAAAAATAAAGGCTCAAACAAGACCGAGAAGAATAAGAAAAAATAATAATAAGGTTTTACATGATCTTAACAAAACTCGACCCAATTGATCACAAAGGGTAAAAAAAACAAAGAATGTGTGGAAAATAATGGAGAGAAAGAAAGAAAAAAAGAAAAGAAAAGAAAAGTAGGTTACCATAGCACCATTATAGTTACTCTTCTAAAATATCCCAGACCACAGGGTGTACCTTATTAATAAAAATCCAAAGCTATCATGAAAAACCATCATCAAAGTTTAGAAGGATTTTCATATATCATCTAAAGGAGCAAGCTTAAGTATACATCAATATACTATTTGTATATGCTAGACACACTTCTTTTCTATTTTTTTATTTCAATCATTGATTCTTCAAGAACTTTTTATTCAAATCCTCAACTTAGCCCAACCTAGCCCAATAAAGGAGAGGAGAAGAAAAAGAAGAGTAAAATTTCCCAAATAGGCTTAATAACATCCACCAAGAAAATTGAGGGAGAAGAAGAAAAAAGAAAAGAGAAAGAGAGAAAAAAGGTGGTCAACCCAAATCAACATGCACACTATTCTTTTCGTGTTGTTAAATCTCATATTAAATATGACATAAAGGTCAAGATACTCCAAGTATATTGTCCTGAATTCTCTACTTTAGAAGTTATCAATGTGAGCACACAATTGAATTCCATGTTTTACAAGTTCTCAATAAGGTGTTTATGTAAATATCTTGTTTTATAGAATGAGACTCTGTATGAACAATTCATTTCATAGGTTAAATACAGTGATGATCACAATAAAATAATTATTTTTAATGACTACCCCTATAAGTAAGATACACAATATGTCTACAACCCTACTCTTTATAAGAAAGATACATGAAATTTGAAGATATATAAATATCAAGGACCACTAGTTATGGAAGAACAATAGATAAATATAGACCACAACATAAATTCTTGTATATTTTTTTTTATTTTCTATATATTATTTTTCTTTTATGCTTTACTAACTTAGATATTAAAAAGTTCTTTGTTCTGCATAAAGAACTTGTTTTGTAGGAAAATGTATATTATCAATCCAAATTCAATTCAAAAAAAAAAAAAACAAAGTCTTCAAAGTTCATTAAACAACCATGGAAAGACATAAATTCAGTTAAAGGTTTTTTTTTTAACTTTGCCAAGTAATTATCTACTTCATGGCAATTTTCAAATGCAAGTTAGAAAAGTAAAGTATTTTTCAATTAAACTAATAATAGGTTATATTTAGAGGAATAATTTATATGTGGCTTAAAGAGAATTATATATATTACAAAGTAATTACTTATTAAGTGGAGTGGAAACTAATAATTAGTACAAGAAAAACTAAAAGTGTGGAGAAAACATTATGGATTCACATTTAAAACACTATTGATTGCAATAATTGTTTTTTTGTTTTTTTATCCTTATGTATTTTTCTATATTATTTTGGTTGAGAATTAAGCTTAATAATATTTTTTTATTTTCTTGTTATGGTATTCTCACAGTATTAAAAAAACATCTTAATATTATATTAAAGTTTGATTTAGCAAAATAGAGTTCAATTTTATTGCTTATAAAAAATTGATACTAGGGAACCAATAAATTGACACTTAAGCGGAACTAATAAATTGAAACTTAAGCAAAACATGAAGGTTATTTGTTAATTATTTATAAGGCATCTTTTTTTTTTAAATTCTAGTCTTTGAAGTTTTTCTTTTTTTTGATCTTTTCAATTTGAAACTTCTATATTTTGGTCCAAAAATTTATTTTGTTCACATGCAATTCAATACCAAGTTTAAAAGTTAGACAAAAAGTCACTAGCAAAAGATGAAGGAGAGGGAAAGAAGTTGGTAACTTGTTTTTCAACAACCAACAAAACCCATCATAATATTAATGAGTTTTATTTAATAAGAAAAGTACTATCAAGATGTTAATCTCTTATATTGTAGAAAAGATGAATTGGGAATTGGGAATGTTTTGTTATCCAAGTTGATTTTTTATTTTTTGATCAATTAAAGGTTGTTTTGATAGTAGATATGTGTTTATTGAGGTTTATGAATTATTATTATTATTATTTTGTATTTTCAAGTTTAAACTAGGTTCAAAATGGTTTTTTGCAAGCAAAGACATCACAGCCCAATGGATGAATCAGTGGATGCATGTCGTCTACCTTTTGAGAATTAGAAAGTGCCAGTGAGCTGTGGCATCCACCGAGATGCGAAAAAGCAGTTGCAGTATTCTCGTCATCCTTGCTTTGCACTAGTCAGTAACATTAATCTTGAAACGAGTACCAGGCCCCATTGCCTTCATTAACTTGCGAAGTAATTGCATGGCGTTCTGTACATGGTCAATGTATACGTTCTGCTAACATTCAGGGATATTGTGATACACTTGCATTAAATTTGTACAATCAATTATGGACGAGTATATATTTCAGCTATGAGATCAAGATCTTAGTGCAATATTTTCACATGAAAAGGAGACGAACAATTAATTGGAGAAAAGATGGAGTTGAAAGCTACAAACCTGTTCTCCAACAACTGGAGTTCGAAAATTGAGGTCCTCATAATTGCTGTCATGTGAGAGAACATCCTCCAATAATTGTACTTCGCTTCTCGGATTGAAGGCCAGGAACAACTTTCGGGTAAGAATGCCAGTATCATTAGCAGCGAAAACCGATGATAAACCAGGAGCGTCATAACTGCACCACACTAATTCCTTTGGTCCTCTTGTTCTTTGCTGCAACTTTTAGTTGCCTTCGTGTTGCTAATGATATAGTTGAGGAAAGGTGGACTTGGGGATAGGAGAATGGACATTACTGTTGACTACTGGGTTGTTCAAAATACCTTCGCATAACATTATTTGGTTGGACTAATGGCAATTTGTGATTGAGGTTTTTTCTCAAAGTCATGCAGGCAGGCTCCTAGACAGTAATGACTCATTGATGCCATGGCTCAGTGTATGAGTGAGGGCGGGGGGGAGGAGTAAATATCATTTTTATTTAATAGCTTGATGGAGGGTCTAGGCATCCAGCATGAAGAATTTGAAGATTTTTTGTGAGGCAAAGGAGCCCATATTCCTTTGTTTTCGGCATCAGAAAATAGGTGTGAAAGCTAATGCAAATGGAGGGAGTCAAGACTAGCATGTATGATCATGAGTACTTCTAGGGCTCGTTTGGTCAAGAGTATGTGTGATGGGGCAAGCCTGACCAGCCCAATGACGCAGGTGGAGCTTAAATCTAGACATGAGACGAAATTAAAATTGCTTTTTATATATCTTCTATATGCAAACGAAAAAAATAGGCCAACAGTGCTATAATAAACTTCGAGAGTAATGAAATATTCTACTGCTAAATGACTTTATAAACCAGAAAAGGGGCAGCACCTAGCATGTGTAAAGGGGGACTTCGATGTTGGTCAGAATCTCTAATTACAACTTGTAAAACCACATATGAAAAAATAAAATAAATAAAAACACCCATCTTTCAGTGAAACACAACTGAGGCCTGAACTTCTCATACTAGGAAAAAAAGCTAGCAGCCATTTGATTTAAACTAGGTTCAGGAGTTGTCAAGCCCATAGGGATTTAATTGCTGGGCT